ACTTATTTTATGATTAAAAGTTCATATTTACAGGGTGTTCAAATTTTAAGATTTTTTTAATTTTTCCTCTAAATCTACTGTGTATCTGTGACCATTATAGAAAAAAAAAATTATTTTTCGGTAGTTAGCTAAATGTAAGTATGATTTTTAAAATGGTCCAGTGGGCTCTGGTCTAATTTGGATAATATCTGTTTTATTAGACAGTTGACAGTGAAAATTGTATCTTGTGTTTGCATATATGTTTATAAATTAAAGGTTTAAATTGTAAAGTGCGGGTAGAACTGTAACACCCTGTAAATCGGTAACAAAGTGTTTGAGGGCCTATACCGGGTGATGCCTAGCGCGACGCAGCATAGGGATTTCAATGGTAATTTCTTTATAGTCAATTACTAGCTCCCCTAATTATTTTAGAGCAAAAGTCTAAATAAGTTTTTTTAGAGAAAAAAATACTGAATCTGTTTATGCTATTACTCATAATTTTCCGTTTTTCAAAACCGTAGAAATCTACAAAATAAAAAGGTTCATTTTACAATAAATCAAATATGCCTTGGAATTACCTAAAAAAACAGCGATCACGTTTCATTATTTGCCTTTGACGTATATTAAATTTATACTTGTTTATAAATTAGTTAAAGAACTGCAAGTGCAATAACGTTCAAAATGTCCGTCAAAACCATCAGGAAAACGACAATACATTCAACGTTTTGGCGGCAGTAGCGGAAAATCCGAATATAAGTTTAGGAACAAATCTGCTTCAAATCAGTTTTTTTTCTTCGATTATGTAGGTACTCTGATTCTCTCTGATAAACAAATAGTATCTGATGCAGATGCAGCATACATTCTGTAAAAAAACATTACCCAATTGCCGCTTTTTCTTGCATCGGATAGTTGTGACAGAATTAAATATGAAAATCGTTCGACGTCAAACAACGATAACTTAGATGCGATGCGCTTGTAGTTTGTTAAAAGATTCCAAAGCATCACTGATTTATAAAAATTTAATTTTTTATTTTGTCGATTTTTACGGTTTTGAAAAATGGCAAATTATAACTAAAAGTATGAACAGATGCAGTATTTTTTTCTCTAAAAAAAACTTATTTAGACTTTTGCTCTAAAATAATTAGGGAAGCTAGTAATTGACTATAAAGAAATTACCATTGAAATCCCTATGCTGCGTTGCGTTAGGCACCACCCTGTATGTTTATATGAACTTTTAATCATAAGGTCAGCCAAAGAATTAGACCCTTCCGTATTTCATATTTAGGAACAACCTGTAGGTAGGTAGGTATAATTTGTAGTCTATAATTCTATATACATAATAGTTATTTATGTATTAAGGGCATAATAGTGATGTTTATTTTCTCGAGAGCGACGAGTTAAAAAGCTCGAGGGCCGATAGTTACTAAATACGGATTTTCAAAAAGATCGGATGATTACTTTTTTACATTTTTCCATAAATAACAATAACAGTTGAAGATAAGGGTTCCAGACCAATTCTATCTAATATACAATTCGATTCTAAACAAGTTCAAATTCTATTCATTTTTTCCCTCAGAGCAATAGTTAACGAGATATTCGAAGTCAAATGTGAAAAAAAACCCATTTTTCCATTTTTTCTTCGTTTTTTGTTTATAACAATATGTTCCGGGCGTTTCTGGTCAGGGGGACTATGATTTTTGGATTCAGCGGATTTTTTTACATAGGATACGATTGCTTTCGTTGAATGAAGGTATGATCTTTGAATGAAGTGACAACATCCAGCCCAAACCGTAATTTCACTGGACTATTACCGCCTCATCCACGAGAGCAATGCACTCCTATGCAGTGGCGTACGTAGAAATTTATTCTGGGGGGGATTGAACAAGTTCGTGGCACATACAGTCACCCAGTGCGTACTAAAAGGGGGGGGGGGGGGGGGTAAGAAATAGAAATTGAGTTGCAAGTTGCTGATGCTGGTAGTCATTTATCTATTTATTATTGTACAGGCGAAAAAGATTAGATTAGAACGGTATTTTATTTCTTACTGCTGACAGGCCCATTTATTGCTTTTGCTTAAATTAGTCAACGAAAACTTTGAATAATAGGTCGGTAGTACGCAGTAAATATGTATAATTCCTATTTTTAAAATTTAAAATTCTTATTTTCGTGAAAGGCAGGACGCAGGTACCTCACCTCAGTAGCAGTACTGAGTACCTGATACCTATTTGTTATTTTGGGCATCAATGTAGCGAATTGCCGATCGATGCCGAATAGCCAAATCGTTGACTGCCAACACTGATCACTGAATAGTGAATATTGAATACTACAGAATTAATATTTAGATTTTAGTGACTTTAGACTTTAACCAAAACCAAAATTGCTCTCTCTCTCTCTATATATACCTATATATTATTGCCTTTATTTTAAAGTGGGCGGAGCGGATAGTGGAGTATTACCTAAATACCTAATAGCTATGATGATAACTCAATTCTTCTGGGGGGGGGGGGGATATCCCCTTCACCCCCCCACCGTAAATACGCCACTGCTCCTATGTAATTTTCACATGAGATCAGTGGCACCGCCGTAGTGTTGATCGCCCCCCCCCCCTTGTCCGCCCATGAAAAAATGATAATGATACTTCCATGAGCAGATTGCGAATCCCGCCTTCATTTTTTATTTCTGATCCACAAAGTACATTAAAAATAAAAAGACCCGTGTGTCCTCAATTTTTATTTGCGAGTAAAATAAACCCAAAATAAATTATTGAAAAGCTGTGTTTTTAGTCCGAATTTGAAACGCTTCAGACTAAATACGTCACAAACCTACAACCAATCACGTAGAAGTGAGCTGGCAACCTTACGCGAGGGTCTGACGTTTGTCACATTTGACGTTTTGAGAGGGATGTTTAACTGCATCTAGCACGAAAGTGACAAGTGCCTGTGACAGATGACGCAAGTTATAAATGCCATTCTCCTGCAATATTGCCAAGTCGTTATGTCATCTGAATGGTTCTAGGAGCTGATTGGTCGGGCTTATTACGTCACAGAGCCCGCCACAATCATATCGTTTTGAATAAACCTTTAAAACCGCACATGTTCATTATTTTTTTTCTAATCAGCCTCTATTTTTAAATAAACTTTTACTGTCCAAAAAAATGTTTTATGGTTTCAGGTAGGTACACGCTTATTAAATTAGAACTGTGGAATTCAACTATACTGTAAACCCCCATTGCGCCGTGAATGAGGTTCGAGGATCGTTTCACTTTTTTGCCATTTCTCCAAATGCTCAATTAAATTCACCCAACTTCCTTGGAAAATGCGCTAAAAATACAAATACAGCCTATATTTAACACGTCAACAAAACAAAGAAATTGCACTTGTCATCCTGATAATAACTCTTAACCGGACATGTTTCCTGGAAAATGAAAAATTGACGTGAAAGGTATTCTCGCACGATTATGGCGTTGTGTGCAGGTGCACCATCCTGTTGAAACCTAGTTTCCAACGTTTTTTGTGTTCCCCCCCTCGTTGTATTCGTAATAAAAAATGCCACACAATACAGTGTGTGCTTTTTTCGCGTCATATAAAATAATGTTGATAATGATTTTCCCCATTGAGAAAGTGTGTATTTTTTGTGTCTGTTTAAGTAACATCAGAAAAAACCAAATCGGTAAGTTTTCCTGGCATCTTCGCAAGGAATCGAAATTTTCTGTAAAGCATGATACTAGCTCTTTAATTGCGCATCTTTTCTCTAATTTAATCAACGTCGTATCTTCTATAGTTTCGGAGATCCCTCTGATGATAGATAGGTATCCTTATCTTGGACACAGTGTATAATTTTATTTTGAACAAATAAAAATATAACTTGTAACAAAAGCAAAGTCAATATGTTATTTTTGTATGTTATTATATATTTCCTTCAATTTGTGAAAAAATAAGAAGTTTGACTTTCGTTTTGTGCAGCCTAGCCTATGTAAGTAGTCATTTGTCGGTTTGAGTATATTTCCACTGAATTAATAAATTTCCAATTCATTCATTCGGTTTCTTGAAAAATTCTTTTCGAGTTGATTTCAAGATTTTCACCCCCATTTCTATCTCACGTCTGATATGCTACTGCATTATCGATATTTGAATTCCAATAAACGATCTTATTCCGATCCAGAACTACTAACTATATAGGTAACTACGTTTTTTTAAATAAAAGGTTAATCGGTTGTTTATTCCGTGAAACGTTAATTACGAGATATTTTTTATTTCCGTACATACTTTTGGCTGTAGCACCTTGGAACGGTGGGTATTTATGGCAGGATACCCTGTATATTAAGAAGGGAACGACATGATTTGTGTTAAAAATACACAAGAGAGAGAGATTTATTGGCCAAGGATGATGATACCAAGTGATGAACGTAAATATTTGTGGTAGCGAATGTGAAGGTCGTCAGCAACACGTGACGAACCTACATTTATCCAGCTGTTTCTTACATGACACATTTAACTTTCAGAAGCAAGCTAATGCTAATACCACAGATTTAAATATTTAAATCTGTGCTAATACGTTATTCGCGTCGCCGAGGAGTAGTTGTAGAAAAACACAATTGATTGAAGAATGCTCAATTAGGATCGTTATAGAAAAGTGGGTCAATTCGATGTGATGTTATAAAATAAACTATCTACGTCTTGTTACTCGTTATCGCATCAATGTACATTGATAATTACGTATTATTTGTTTATTAACCGAGTATATCGTTAAGTGGGGACAATCTCGGCGTTTGCAAATAAGACATGTCTCCGTAGTGAATCAGTCTAGGTGTAGCGTGCGTTGAAGTGGTTTCGTGCTGACGCTCACTGCTAATGGACGTCTAAACTCAAAATGGCCGCCGACTCCGGAATGGATACGTGCCCGTCACCTGAGATCGCGGACTCCAGGAAAAGACCGCTCGACGGGGACAACGAAAACGGCGACACGAAGCGATCACACTTCAGCTCAGGTAAACAGAATAGTGACATACTTTTTTCCTAAAATATAAGTTAGTGCGATATCGAGCAGTGTGTTATTGAGGGAAATTGGATCAGTGGGCGAATCGCGAGTATTTGCTAAATTTTAATGGGAGCTCGTTTATTGAAGAAGTTGCAATGAGTTTGAGATATTTCGGTTCGGTTACGTTACGATGAACGTCGTCGTAATGCTGTCCGGAATCAATCGCTCGACGTGGCTGTAGTGCGCTCCGTGGCAACTCCGGACTCCTGGTGCGTTAGCAAAGGAGCAGTGGTCGGTGGGTGTGCAGCAATTTGAACATGCTGACCATACGATCAGCTGGCTCGTCTGTTATTTCCCATAAATCAACCGTGAACGCGAATTCGACTTCGCCAGCATCGTTGCCGTGACGTGATAACTAGCATATGTTGATAATATCTGAGTGTAGCTTAGAGGCAGGATTTTGAAAATTACGCCTAGGCATTTTGGCTTAAATGATAAACAATTCCGACGCGTTCTTCCTTGACAATCTGTTGTACACGTTACCAACGGGTGAGTTGTCATATGGGTGGCAGGCACCTGCACTGTCGTGCTCCACGTTGGGGTAAACATAACCCTTCAACGTCTGCACTGCTCATGCTAGACCACTGTGTTTTCGGCTTAATCATTCGCATTATGTTTAAAACGTCACGAGCTTTCAAACATCTTCCTTCACATTTTTCCTCTATGCAATCATAACCCACATAATAACGAAAACTTAAGAAGGTCTCATTATTGATTGCGATTGCTATGGCTTCTATCCTCGCTTCTATTCCAAACAATGCATTTGGTAAATTTCTCACTTTAAATGCAATTTTAATTAGGTAGGTATGTGTACCTATATTAAGTAAATTGCATCATACTTTCATTTCTTTTTCGAGCTAATTTAATTGTTAGAATGCATTTCAAGGTAACTGGACGCGAATTCCTCCTTTACATAATATGTATAGTACCTATGCCGGTAAATTACAATGTAGGTAGTACGTAAATTTAACTACCTACCTAATTAAGTATCTATTATTATACGTGGTCTGATCTGGTCGATAGGCAAGGTTAGGTTGTATACCAGCAAAAAAATCGAGAATACTTCTTAACATTTCGGATGGATTTGGCTTTTAATGATTATGGGGATATTATTGAACACATAAACTAGCAGGTAATTAAGGTAATAAAAAGCTATAGGCTTGGCCAATACTCAAAATACTCCAAACTCGCACTCTGTTACCCACGATCACCGTAATGAAGCAGAATTTTTGTAAGTAGGGTGAAAATGTCCCACGGTGATTTGTTTCTAAAAGGGCTCTTCATTTATCAATGTAGCCGGAAGGTCACTGGGGATTTCGTATAGCTGTGCTACAGTTGAGTTATTTCAAAGACATTCTGCTGACTCGCTGCATTGGCCCTCCATTTATATATATATATAATATAAACTGTTGACTATACGGTATGCAATTTCAACTATGTAGGTATTTCAATTAATCACTGTCATTCCTATCCATTAAGAAGGCAATGCTATAGGTGCTTTTTAAAGAGACTTGAAAATTTCTAGGATGTGCTGTCCCAAAAAATAGCACCCAATTCAACCATAACCTTCCCCCTCGCCTTCCCCTTATGTACAGGGTCTTCCATTTTCGACACATATAGGGTATCTGCGTAATTGTTAGTGTTATCAAAACACAAAGATCTAAAATAGTCCCGAAAATAGTAAAATAACCTATATTTTCTTACTTAAAAGAGATACAGAAAATTGTTTATCACAAGTGTTTTTATAATGATTGTTGAATAATCCGAGGGGTAAAATTCTAGAAAATTTAAAAAATCCTAGACATTTTAAAAAAAATTCTAGAAAATTCTGTAGTGTTCTAGAACCTCGTCTAGAACATTTAAACAAATTCTAGAAGAATTATAAAAAATCTACTAGCGTTTGTTGTTGAAATATACATCAATGTACGCATTAAACCTGCCTATTAAGTTAAACAAAATTGCCAAATATTAAAATCAGTAAATAAATTTATTTATACAGTTTTTTTTTTATTTCTTAAACTTTATCCATTTGAATAGGTCCAAACAAATTTGCTGAGCAGGAACCATTTGCCAATTTTCCTTTTTTGCCCACGAAAATTGGTTAACATTTTCTTTTTAAAACTTCATTTTGTACATCTAGCTTTCTTCGTTTTGGTCACTTATTACTCTTCCAATATACCACGCTTCTGTATAGAAACAAGCGTAGTAGGTCTCCAATATAATCTGCAAATGAGCGGAAATAATTTACGACTTCCATTAAAAACACAACATTTAAAGATAAATATTACTTATGCATTCTATTGCAAACGTTAATATCGATTTTGTGTTTTGATGTTTAATTTCGGTGCGAGTTTCGGTCTTTGTTTTTTTTAAACTTTATTTTTATTACATTTGAACCGACCAGTTTCGAACATTCAACATTTCAAACTTGTCTCCTAGAGTTTATATAAATTCATCCCGTGTTATGCTGCTACACAATTGAGGAGTTTCTTCTTCTTTCAGAAACCGTGCCGAAAGTGATTTTTTAAATTGAACACCGGTATATTTTAATCCAAAAAGGTAGCATATTAAATTCTCTTTTCAAAAATACAACACTGAAAAAATTCAAAACAATCAATATTCAATGAAAAAGAGAGACGGTTAAAAGCAGTAAAAAGCGAGGTAAAAAGTTATCGAACCTAACCTCATTTTTCAAATGGAACACCCAGTATATTTTAATATAAAAAGGTAGCATTTTAAACACCCTTTTCAAAAATATAACACTGAATAAATTCAAAACAATATTGATTGAAGAAGATTCAAAAAAGATTTAAAAAAATGAAAAAAACCTGTTCTCAAAAAAGTATACGAGGTCAGGTAAAAAAGTTATGGGACCTATCCTCATTTTTCAAATGAAACACCCAGCATATTTTAATCCAAAAACGAGTCTAAAAAGGTAGCCTATTAAATTCCCTTTTCAAAAATATAACGCAATCCTCGAGGCAATACTCAATATGTATTGTGATTTCGGTATTTAATAAAATTCGAGATAAAATGTATTTGATTCAGTTTTTTCCTCTGTTTTTTTTTTGCTATAATATAATTAGATCCAACAGTAAAAAGTAACTGAAATACACAAATATATATGTAAAAACATTATGTTTTTGACATGTCAAGTTTTTAAAAAGTTTCCAGGTCTGCTGCGATTTTTCAAGATTAGCAATCAAAAAATGTCAAAAACTTTAGTTTTTCAAATTGCATTCTGATGTCAGAAATCAATGTAGATTTTAATTTTGGGGCCAGTTTTATTAACATTGTGTATACAAATATACCCGGAGCTATATATCCTGTAGTTTTTGGGTGCCATTGCCATTTAAAAAAAAAATCAAATGTACATTCATTTCTGGTATCAGAAAAAATAGTTGTACTTTGAAAAACCCGAGAAATAACGGAGGATTTTGACATTTAAAATCGCAGCAGCCCTGGAAACTTTTTCAATACTACCAATGGTCACTTAAAAAATTCCTTAGACTTTTTAGGTTTCGATTCTAAAAAAAAGAGCACTCACATATCTTGAAAGGTTTAAGGATATGAGTTTCTGAATGGACCCTTTCATCTCTAAATTGTTAGAGAAAAATTGTCATGTGAAAAACTATGTACGCAAATCTTAAATTCGTTGAATTCAGAATAAAATGGCGCATTTAGAAAAAAAATCAAGATGACGCCAACTTCCGATCTTTACGGAAGGGCCGCCATCTGGAAATTATTTTATTTCAATCCGCAATGGTGCATTATGGCTGTGAACCAAATTTCAAGTTTCTATTTCTATTGCCAGTTTAAAAACTTCTTATAAAGGGGCTAGTGCATCACCCTATATACTTACTTCACGTGTTTCTCTATCGAGTAAAACGTATTTTGAATTAGGAAATTATGTTATAATACGAGCAAAATAGCTTCAATGTAGTACGGATTTTGTTGAAAACGTTCTTTTCTGTGAGACCGCTTTTAACTTAACAAACAAAGTGTAAAAGTTCGTAGATATACCGGGTGTCCCAAATTTTAAGGCCCACCCTGTAAATAGCAGACACAGTACTTCAAAATAAGCACGAAATGTTAGATAAACATACGCCCGATCTTGCTGTGACTGTGGACCATACTCGGCTTGCAACCGGGCCGCTCGCGGGTTCAATTCTGCTTGAAAAGATTTTTTGCACACAACATGCTTAATTCGGCGGAATGGACATTTGGTTATTTGCAAGTTTAAGATTGTCTTCTCAAATTTTGTTCAAAACCAAAGTTTTTGTACTACTTGTGCTACTTACGGTGTTTTCTAAAGGGATACGCATCTGCTAGTTACGAATATGCGCACGGGCTTATGAATTAAACAACTATCCCCATAACAATGACTTTGACTCTATAGTTATACATACAGGGTGATTCCTATAGTACCTGCCACCGTTTGGGAGCGTATAGGGGGTGCCTAGGGGAAGTCTTTTCATATAGGACACTTGGAGTCGGAAATCCAAAATAAGGGCGCCAGAACCAAATTTATCTTCTGGAATTTCACGCCTGTATGTAGGCAACCCAACCGACCGACGTTTCGCGCGGAGCGATGCAGAGCGAGTTAGCGCGAGGAAGCGACATGGGAGGCAAGGAGGGAAAACGACAGTCAAAAGCAATAACGTTTACAAGTGTTCAACGTGGCCACCGTTGTTCTCAATGCACTTCCTACATCTAGCCAACCACTCCCCCTCGAACTCGCGTGAAGACTCCTATGTCCTGGCGAACAGCCTCTCCGGCCATGACGACGCGCGCAATTAAGTCCTCTTCGGATTCGACGGGAGTCTCGTAGACGTGCGCTTCCATCACACCCCACAAGTAAAAATCTAATTGGGTGATGTCGGGCGAGCGGGCAGGCCACTCCACCGCACCTCCACGGCCGATCCATCTGTCCGGATAGGTTTGGTCCAAGTGTTCCCTCACCTGCCGCCCGTAGTGAGCAGGGCACCCATCGTGCTGGAACCAGTGGTCCCAGTACAAGTTCACTGGAACATCCATTAAAAGTTCTGGTAGCACCTCGCGCAGGAAAATCAGGTAATTATGGGCATTTACACGCGGAGGGAGGATGTAAGGCTCCAGTAGGTTGTCCCCCAGGATGCCAGCCCAAACGTTTAAAGAAAACTTGTCCTGGTATCCTCGCGTAAACGTTTCATGAGGATTGTGCTCCGGCCAGTAGTGGCTGTTACGAGGATTGAAGGTCCCCTCTCTTGAGAATCCTTTCTCGTCAGTAACTAGCACGCTCCTCAGAAAGTTCGGATTAGCTTCTTCCTCTTGGACGACTAAGTTGCAGAATTCCAGCCTCCTTTCATGGTCACCCGGCCGTAACTCTTGCACTTTCTTAAACTTATAGGGGTGTAAGTTGTTGTTGTTGGCGATGTTCCACATTGTGTGTTGACTACAACCCACCTGATCTGCTACAAGTCGAGTGCTAGTACGCGGGTTTGCTTCGA